CGTTGCTCCTAATAACAATAATGCCATTACTTTTATTATTGGTAATAATATTTTTTACTACTACAATAACTTGTTGCACATAGAAAACTAGGATATCAAGAGGAAGCACAGACTAGAATTCTGCTGAGCTCCCGGCACTAAGTTTTCTGTACGCGGGGTAAGTTTTGTGTGTGGAGTAATCCATAATATGAACTGCCACATTCAGTCTGAAGTGGTACAGCCCTGACTCTAGGTCAGAGTCAGCTGCTAAAAAGACATTATTGCAGCTTGCTTTCAATTGGCTAGGTAGCAACACAGCGCTTCCAGAGTGCTTCCAGGGAGGGGAGTAATTCTTGCCTTTCTGAAAGAGGGAAATGTCACACTGAAAATCATTTCCCAAAGAATAGTTTCCCTGAAAAGAAGCACAGTTGATCAAAAGCCAGGAGTTCAGATATTTTATTTTAAAATGCAAAGCTGGGTGGCCTTCATCTTCAGATCTCTCCACACATGCTCCTCTTTTTTGCGCAAAACGGAGTCTGCTGTCTGCAGCCTGACTTCCAGCTCTGGGTGCAGCTGCAAGTGATCCAAGTGTTTCAAACGCACCCGCCACTTGCAACACAAACATCTCTGATTGGCTGATGCTTCACCGGCTCCCTTAAAGTGCTAGCACTTGGAAGTGGGGTGCTATTGGGGGGGGGAGGAAGTCCATATATGGACATAATAAAAAAGCCTTGGTCCAGTGTACGATTAGCCCAATATCCTGCTTCCAGCGGCAGCCGGTCATACGCTTTTGAAAAATGCAAACGCAAGCAGGGGTATAAAGGCATTGCTCTCCTACCCTCCTTTACTGCCTCTATGCATCCAGCTGATTGTTCTGTTTAGAACATGTGGAGAGCCCCCTCCCCTCCTCCCTAACCACTGCCAATTTTAGCAGCCATCACCACATCTTGTGGCAGTGAATTCCACCATCCAGCACATACTGGGCAAATAAATGCTCCCCCTTTGTCTCCTCCAAATGTCTCAACTCTACTGCCAACCACAGTTTCAGCAGAGGAGGTCTGGCTTCAAGCTTTAAGGGGTTCTGTGTTTTCTACAACCCCAAGATCTACCAGACGCATATCCAGGCAAAAGAAGTCTTAGCTGCGCATCATTCATTGGGTCCTGAACTGGTAGACTGATAGACCAGAAATGAAACCTTGGGAGTCATAAAAGATAGCTCATCAAAAGGCAAATTACATGCAACGACTCGTTAGGAAAGGAATTGAAAATAAAGCTGCCAATAGCCTAATGTCATTATACAAATCTTTGGTGCAATACAATTTAGAAAACTGTTCTGGTTCCCTCGTCTCAAAAATGAGACTGTAGAGGAAGCAAAAGTTATGAAAGGGACAATGAAAATGATAAGGGGGGGTGGAGCAGCCCCCCTGCTCTCTGCTGCCCTTAAGGAAGCTTGCAGCATTTGAGACTTTATAGTTTAGAGAAAAGGCGGGGTGATAATAGTTTATAAAATAATGCATGGCATGGGGAAAGTGGATAGAGAAAAGTCCCCCCCCATAACACTAAGAACTCCTGGGCACCCAGTGAAGGTGAATGTTGGAAGACTGAGCAAGATAAAAGAACACAGGACATCGTTAAACTATGGAACTTGCCATCTACTTCTACTTGCCCTGATGGCTCTGCTCTGTTGCAGGGATGGAAGGAGCAATGCTTCTGAATACCAGCTGCTGGAAGCTGCACAAGGGGAGGGAGCTTTTGTGCTGCACTCCTGCTTGCGCATTTCCCCTAAGTGTCACCTGGTAGGTGGGCTGCTTTGAGAACCGGGTGCTGGACTAGAGGGGCCCCTGGCCTGGTCCAGGAGGCTCCTTAGAAGCTCCTTAGAATGAAAGAACAGGGTTAGCATGAAAGAACAAGGTGCCTCTGAGCAGTTACTAAGCAAAGAGGTTTGTTTTCAGTATCAAACTCAAGGGAACCTGCAGTGCTTCACCCCCAAAACCTATTCTCAGTCACCTCAAGTTTGCATCATTTTAAGCAGCTAGTTTAGGGAAGTCGGGGTTGGTTGCTTTATTATCTCTGCTGCTTAAAACAATGAGGGCCAGAAATCCTTCCCGATCCGGGGAAAACTGCTTCCTGAGCAGGACCATCCCGTTGCCCTGGCCGGGCCTGCAAGCTGGAGGCAGCCGTCAGCCTGCCACCCAACTAGTATTATCATTATTATTTATTAAGTAATTGATAAAATAATCCACCCCAGGGGCACGGGAACACTACGTGGGAATGCAGGCCTCGCTTGCCCGCCCCACCTTTAATAACCACGAGGTTTCTAGGGAGAGCTGCTCGAAGACAGGACTCGCGCCCCTGAACTGCTCTGATTGGGAGCGCGGCAGGCAGCTGGCGGGGCCCGGAAAGGAAGCCGCCTCCGCCCGCGCCGCGCCTGGGCCAACCTGGCCTGGGCTGCGTGGCGCCGCCCGCTTAAAAGGGAAGCGGCCCTGCTCCGCCGCCCCGCCGCGCCGCCCCCGAGGCCACAAAGAGACCAAAGCGCGGCTCGCCCGGCCGGGCCCTGGAGAAGCAGCGGCGCCGCCTTTTGTGCCGCCGGCCTGGCCTTTCAGGCGGGGCGCTGGGGCGTGTGACGGCAGCGCCCGGCGCATTGTCCTGGCCCCGTTATTAATCGCCCTGGGGCGGGCCGAGGGGAGCAGCCGAGGGGGCTCCGGACTAAGGGAGGCCGGGCGGGCCAGCAGGGCCTCTCCTCTCCCGGAGCCGCGCTAGCCTGAGGCGAGCCAGGAGGAGGGAGCGCCGCCCGTGTGAGCCGAGAGGAGGAGACGGGAGAGCGAGCGGCAGCGGCTCCCGGGGCAGCCGGCGGGGAAGGCGAGGCTGGCGCGCTGGTTGGAGGGGCGAGGGGGGCCCTTGAAGCCCGCTTGGCGCTGCCCAGAACTGGGGCTTCACGAGGCCGCCGGGCGGAGCCCGCTTCTTCTCGACCCGCAAGCAGCACCCAGGGCGCGCGCAAAACTTCGCGCTCCGCCACCGTCGCCGCAGGATCGCGGAGGGGAGAAGCGGCCCACCCACCAAACCAGCAGCCCCGCCGATGATCCGCCCCGGAGTCCCCCCCCCCCTCCGCGCTCCCTGCTGCTTGGAACCGAACCCCTTTCAGATCTCCAGCAGCGTTTTGCGAAGGTGGGGTCTTTCTCTTTCCCAGAGTGGCAGCCGCGCGGAGCCCGGAAAGCAGGAGGCCGCGAGCAGGAGAAAGCCGATCCCGGGGCCGGAGCTCCTCCTGTACATGGCCGCCTCCCCTTCCCCGCCTGCCCCCTAGACCAGCCCCCGAGTCCAGCCCATGGCCGGGGCCTAGTCTCTCGCCCACCCGCTTGCCGGCCAGCAGCCCCGTCTGCAGTCACCGGAAAGCGAAACAAGCTACTCACCTGCGGCGCCAGCAGAAAGTGCGGTGAACGGATTTCCAGGGAAGCTGCTGGAACTGCAGCCGTCTGCTCGAGAATTTGGGTTGGCGGGGGCCCAGAAGCGCAACTGGACCTTGTTTCTGAGCAAGCATGCATAGATAAGAGCCTGGCTGCAAAGTGGGTGGGTGGGGAGGGAGTTAAGCACGGAGAGGTTAGTGGATGCGTGTTTACTCCGAATGACCTAACACACACACACACACACACACACACACAACAAACCCCAACCGATTGAACCATTGCTCCCCTGTAAATGTCCACGCATAGCAGCCTACGTTGTGGATAGGCTGCAACTCCAGGTTGCAACTCCAGCTATGGCGACACCCCCTTCAGCACTCCAGGAGTTTTAATATTTGTATGGAACTCTGGATCCTGAACAAGTTTACAGTGCATGAATTCCACTTTGAACTTACTTGCATTTATGTACTGCTTACGCCCTGCCACAACACCTAGCACGATTCCCCTAACGCCTGAATAGAAAAAAAAATCTAAAAAGTGAGGCTAATTGTCAAACATTTCCAATTGAAATAAATGGATTTACTCAAGTTATTGTGGCAAGGATTCGAATGCAAGGTTGCAATGCTAGGTATAGTTACTTCAGAGTAAGTAACTTTCAAGTCATTAGGCACAGGATTGCAGTACTGATGCTTTTCCAACGCAGTAGGTGTCACAATAATGATCACTGAAGTTGCTCAGCTCAGCTGGGTTTATATCGCTAGATGGGAAGCTTTTCTGATGAGATCAGATTTGCACAGCTTTTTCATCCACATCACTTACTCAGATCCAGGACTGTGCTCTGAAATAGGAATGCTTGGGTGCCTGGGGAGGCCTTTGTGAAATTTGTTTTGTTCTGAAAAGGAGGAACCCAATGGTAGATCTATATTCTTGGAAGGACAGAAAGGGAAGTCGCTTCCCACTGCTGGCAACAAGGCTTACTTTCCAGTTAAGCAGCAGATTTGGGGACCTATGAAAATACACCACCTTTGGTCTTCTTCAGACCAGAGAAATCTAGATCTTTGCACTGCAAACCTAGGCACTTTACTTCCAAGTAAGTTCTTTTAAATGAGTTGAACTTCTTCAAATAATTGAGGACAATTCACACGGAAGTTCTGCACAACCTGCACTGAAACGCAGGGGTGGGGAGTGGGGGGCCTAAGAGCCAGATTTGAGAAGCAATGATAAAAATAACCAACAGGAGCCCCAGATTCAGAGGGCTTGGATGGAATGAAACCTTGCAGACCTTCCAGGACAGAAGGCAATGTCCAACCAATCACCCCAAGGTCATTTAAAATTAATTTATTTATCAAATATAGCTATTAATATAAACGATAATAAATTTTCAACTGTACAGTATATTACACAGTACGCAGAGCCCTTCCACGGGGCTTGGTGGAAGAACAAGCGGCAAAGAGCAGCAAGTGCAGTCCTGGGGCCTGGAGGGGTTTTGGGGGGCGGGGTGTCCACAGTCTGACTCCTGCGCCCAAAGGGGCAGCCCAAGCCTGCGGAGTATTCCGGTCCTTCCAGAGAGGCTTTACCTGGGCGAGTCCAGCGGACCAGCTCTCCTTCCTTCCCTGCTGGCCGGTGCCTGTCCTTCGAGGGCTGACACAAATGACAGGCCTTCTCGCTAAGACCCGGTCCTCTGGGGTGGAGGAGCCCCCGGCTCGCCCACGGGGTTCTAGGTGAGATGGTACATGCTGTAGCCCACGTGCGCCGCGTAGAGTCCCACGGGGGTGACGGGCAGGCCGGCCCGCGGGAAGGGCCCCGAGGAGGCGTACAGAGAGGCGCCGGCCACCGCCGGGCCGCCCAGGGGGAAGGAGATGCCGAAGGCGGCGGGCGGCAGCATGGGCTTGGCTGCCATCTTCAGCTTCTCCAGCTCGGCCTCCTGCAGCCGCTTGGCCTTGGCGCGCCGGTTCTGGAACCAGATCTTGACCTGCGTCTCGGTGAGGCTCAGCGAGCTGGAGAACTCGGCGCGCTCCGCGATGGACAAGTACTGCTTCTGGCGGAACTTCCTCTCCAGCGCCAGCAGCTGCGCCGTCGTGAAGGGCGTCCGCGGCTTGCGGTTGGTCTTGTGCTTGCGCAGGGTGCAGGCCGGCGGGCTGGCGCGCCCTGCGGAGACAGCGAGCGACACCCGGTAAGGCCCTTCCCAAAGACACCCCGGCGCGCCGAGCCGCCCCCCCCCCCGGGCAAAAGGCGCAACAATCCCGGGAAGGCGAAGGAGCCCGGCTGGCGCGCAGGATCAGACCACCTGCTCACTCCACAAGCCCAAAAGCCGTTTGCAGGGGCGCCTTGGCGGAAGAGGACCCGCAAACCTGGGCAAATTTATCAGGAAATAAGCATCGCTGGCTGAACTCAGTAGGATTTAATTCAGAGTAAACGTATTTTAGAACAGGCTGTAAGGCGGATCTCGATTGACAGCTTGCTCCGGTTAAACCGTCATCTAGTTAAACCACAGTAAGGCAATTTAACTCTATTGAAATTAATGGGCCAAATTGGTATTAAATACAGTGCTTCTGGTTTATTTAAGCTGCAAGGGCAATTTCTTCGGGATTTTCCAGATTAGAATATTTCAAGAGCTGGGTTCTAAATTCAGCTGAGCGGAGTAACAATGATTCAGAGTAACTGGAGTCTGAACCTGGAGGATGTATGGTGGTACAATCCTAAACACACTTAAGAGCGAGCCGCGTTAAAATGCAAAAGGACTTTCAAACGGACTGGACCTTGCATTTTACTGAAGCGGAGCTGTTCCCGGATAGGAAAACCAAGTCGACTTACAGCCAGGGGGACATTTTGCAACTGAACAAATGGGATGCTGGAAACCCCCCGAATTGTACAGATTTAAAGAAGGAGGCGACTTTTAGCTGGATGAGAGAGAGAGCGAGAGAGATCGTTCTGACAGCCCAAATCAGCCTGATCCCACCCACTCGCTTTAAAAGGCCTCATTCCCACGTAAGCGAATAGGATTGCAGCCTTCCAAGAGGCGCCTGGGTGTCACACGGAGCCACGCCGCCGCCACAGCCAACCCCTCCCAAAGGCTTATCCGTGGGGGAAGACGCGCGTGGCCCCCAAAATGGTGCGTTTTCTTTAAGAGGTTGGGTGCATTTATTAGTGCTTCAGATAGAAAAATAAAGTATTGGGGCAGTTCATAAGAAGGGGAAAGCGGGGTTGGGGGAGGAAGGAAACCATAAATTATTGAACTAAAGGGAAAAAATTTAAAAAATGAAAAGGGCAGGTCCTGTCACTCACATCCCGTTTATGGGCCTCTTGGGAAACAGAGTGCGCATGTCATTAATTAGGGAGTCCGTGAAGACGCCGCTTGCTCCTTTTATGGCCTGTTTTAAGAACGACTCTCGGCATTCCGACCCACACCCTTTGGAGCGGAAGAATTTAGACTGCTAAACACATTTACTTGAAAATAAAGGCTGGCAGGTTTAATGGATTCAAGTTAATTGTTTTACATCATAGCCTCAAGTCAAGTTGAATCCAAGTGAAGCATTTCCATCGTGAAGCTAACACTCAAAAAAGTTGTAGATCGCTTTCAGTGTTTCCATTAGCAGAGAAGACACTGTAGTCGTAGATACCTTTACTTGGGAGTAATTCCCACTGCGACTCATCACTACAGGCCGGGGCTGCCAGCTGTGATGAAATCCTTTGGAGACATTCCAACGGGAAGCCCTCCCAGCAAACCCCCCTTGAAGGGAAAGAGCCACAGTTTACCAGCGCAGGCCTCGGGAATGCCTGGGTATCTTTGTTGCAAGATTTTCCCGGTGGATTTGGCCCATTTTAAGTTAAGGCTACCCACGGTAGGACGCTAAGCTGACCTGGAGAATATATTCTTCCTAATATGTTTAATTTCGATAGTCTTTGAAGATATACTCACATAACTCTTCCCCAACCCCGTCCCTTCTAGATTCCGCACATTGCACAGGGGAAGCCATAGCAGGACGACAATTACAATATGGGATAGATTCTCTTTTCACATTCCGTTTGCAATAATTTGGAAGATTGCTTTTTTAAAAACAAAAAACAAAACCTTATTACTTCCTGGTATCTGGGCAACATTTTAAAAATAAATTTCAATTACGGGGGTTGGGAATCCAGCTGGAAAGAGACTCCTAATTAATCCAAAACGACATGAGCCCTGAACAAAATATACCAGAGAAGCCAGTTTTGTTACTTTCAGTTGCTTTTCACTTTTTACATATCGGTAGGAAGTCCAAGAGATGACTTTTCAAGGAACAAACCCCTAACTTCAAAAGTGAAGCTGCTGGACATTTTAGAAACGGTTCAAATCAGAGCGATCTATTGTAGTGGAATTTAGCATCGGTAGAAATGTTATGGGCATTTTCTCCAAAGCCACCTCTGCCCGAATTCTCCTACTCACTGACTGAAAGGAATTTCCATGGACACAAGTAGGAGTTAGAGCACATTAAAATAGCGCCCTTAAACTATTTTAAACTGCTAAAATACTCTTGTTTTAATCCGCGGGAGAGAAAAGGAGGCAGAAAAGTCCCCGCTAATTCCTCTCCTGCTCAGGCCGATCCGGAAACAAAGCAACTTTCTTTAAAACGAATCACTGAGGCTTAGGCGGGTTGTGCGGCAGGGCTGGGTCTACATGGACTCCGCCACCTTCGATCCTAAAAAGTTTGCTGAGAAAAGTAAACTACTTTGAGTTGGAAGCCAAGTTTCCTGGACCACGGGATGTTGTGGAAGGTCTCACAGGGAAAATAAGGCTGAAACCCTATACGTGGGAGTCTTCCCAAATGAACTCGGTGGGACTTCTCAGTGGTGATGGAAAGGATTCCGCTGTAATTGATTCTGTTTCCCAACAGCGCAATTTAAGGACCATTAACGAGAAGCGCAGTAGAAATAAGCAGCCGAAACTCATCGGATTTCCTTATTACGTTTTCCTATTTGTTTAGCATTTTTATTTATTTAAAAAGCATGAATGTGCTCGTAGCGATTTTCTGGTTCTCCAGATGGTGTGCAAACCGCAATGGTTTAAAATGTCCTTACCCAGGTTGTCTGTCTGTCTCTCTCAGCCCAGAAACGGGCTCCTTGGCGGCGGGAAAGGCCCTGAAACCCGGAAGTCCCAGGCATCCCTCCCCCTGGAAAGTGGTGACTGGTTCAGAAACCAGGTCCAAGGAACCAGTGACCTTTCATTCCCAACTCAGTGAAGGAGACCTTCCCTGGGACCCTGGGCTCTCTGGGCAACTGTCAGCTGGCAGGATCCGGCCAGCAATGTTACCAACAGCTGTAGCTGTCTGAAGACTCTCTACTGAGAGTCCCAGCGTCAAGGCAGCGGGGAGTTAAGATTGCGGGGAAAGTGAGACGGTCCCCCAAATGGGCTCTACAGGAGCGACACGATCTGCAATGAAGGCAACTCCCCAGCTCCCCTTTGGCAGCACTGGGGCTGGAGGCAGCTTGCCGCTGCTTCACGGCCAAGTCAAGCAGCCGCGGAAGGCAGGCAGGAGCTGCATGGAAGCTGCTCTGGTTCTAAGCATATTCTAAAAAGGTCGCCTCGATCTCAGCTTCCGGGCTGCTCGACGCTCTCGGCTTTAAGTCGGCTAAAACGCCGCTATCCGACTAATCCCTGACTTGGAAGCAAGGCCTCTTGAGACCAAGGATTGGTTTAAGCAAGGGGAAGCCGATCCTGTTAGAAACCGGTGCTCCTTACTTCCAAGTAAACACCTTTTGAGCGTGCCTGCCCCATTCGTGCTAGGAATCAAGGCCGGGCACCTACGCGCTTTGAGTTGGTGGCCGGCTGGTTGGTTTCTTTTTGTATTTTGTTTAACTAGCAACTCAAGTTCCACGAGCCGAAGCAGCAACCTGGAACATCTCTCCGGCGCTCAACACATGCATTTACTGGAAAGTAAAAAGTCCCCTTCTCTTAAGTGACAGCCGAGACCGGCTTCCCCATCCTCAACCGCAGCGTTTTGACTACTCGCTTCCCGGCCAAGTCCACGTGCGCTTCCCCGGCTGCTCACTTACTTGGCGGCGGCGGAGAGAAGCGGGGGCTTTGCATCCAGGGCGTCCGCTCCGGCTTCTCGGGGCTTTCGGCTTTGGCGAGCGCCTCTTCGGGCACCTGGACTAATCCCCCGACAGCAAAATGGGTGGCGATGGCCAGCGCCGAGGCCGGTCTCTCCGGCGCCGCGGCAGAGGGCGCCCCCCTCCTGGGACTGAGGGGCCTCGGGTGCGCCGACGGCTCCCCCCGCTCGGGCCCGCCGGGCAGGCTGCCGGGCTTTCTGCGGTCGGCCATGAGCGCCTCGACGCTGAAGGGTAGCAGAGCCGGAGCCGCCTTAGGCTTGTCGCCGCCGCCGCCCTCCTCCCGGCCCCTGGTGGCCCCCGGGGGCCCCGTCGGGCCGGGCTTGCCGAAAGGCGGCGCGGGTGGCTCCTCGCTCCCCGCCGCGCTCTGAGCAGAAGTCATTTCCAGCGCCGGGGCCATGCAGCTCCCCCCGTCCCCCCGCCGGCGCCCAAGCTCTCGCAGCCGTCGCTCATGGAGGTGGGCGCGGAGTGTGAGGCAGGCCCGGCCGCGCTCCCGGCTGCGCGGCGCCTTCGCTCGTCAGGGCTCCGCTTGGCGAGGCCCGGGACCCAGCCCGGCGGGCTAATAAAGGCAGGCCGCCCCCGACGGCGGCCAATCCGCGCTCCGAAGGGGGGTCCCGCTGCCTTCCCATTGGGTGCGGCGCGCAAGAGAGCGCGCGAGGAGGACCGGGAGGCGGAGGAAGAGGAGGCGGGATCGCCCGGCGCGCCTCCGCTCGACTCTGCCCGGCGCGGCCGCCAAGCCGGGAAGAAACTTTGCTCGGCACCAGCCAGGAGCCATTGCGCGCCGGACTTTCCTTCTCCGCCTCTGGGCAGCTCCCATTCACCTCGCGTCGCCGTCGATTCACCTCGAGGGGTTGTTTGTTTTGCTTGGATTCCCTTCCGTCCCGCTCGCTCCGTCTCTCCAATGGAAATTCCGCGAGCCTGAGCTGCAGGCGGCAGCTTTGCTTGGGACGAGCGACGCTCATCTTCAGAGTATCATAGACTAATCATTTTACCCCTTCTCTGTGCAATCAGCGGCGAGCAATCTAGTTCTACGATAACCATTTAGAGTTTTTATTCTCTTTGAAGTGTCTCCCGACAATCAAGCGGTATATAGAGTTTGTGAAATAAATATGAAATAAAATAAATAAGTCTTCTTTGAATATGGGCTAAATTCGTGTGTGTGTGAGAGAGAGAGAGAGAAGAGAGAGAGAGAGTGCTGTAATAATATGTAATATTTGCCCACCCCCGCCGCCCAATAGGGATACGTTTACACACGCCTTTCGCTTTTGGAGGGGAAATCAACGTGGGAAAAAGCTTTTAAATTTGGCTGCAACGTCGTGTAGCTTACTCGGAAGTAAGTGCAATGAGACTCATTCCAAACAACTGTGGACGGGATGGCAACCTCTCTGGTTGTGAAATAATAGTTCTTCTTAAGTACAATAAACTCCCAAACTAACAAAAACAAACAAACAAAAAACCACAGAGAGTCCAATATATAAGCCCATGAATTAAATACGATGTATGTATGTATAGGGTTTAAGCTTATTTATAATCATATTCGCAGTAGATGGGCTATACTTGATTTTGCAGGGCTTTGGATGAGGTCGCGCTCTGCCCTCGGTATGACCCAGTCTCAGTGCAGATACAGTATAGCTAGTCTTCCCCATCGGCTTCCAAAAAAGCAATTTAACAAACAAGCAAACAAGCAGGAGGCAAAAAGAGGGGCAAATCCTGCCCATCATTTGTATCTGGTGTATCTCTCCTAGAGCTCTGTTTGTCTGGATAAGGCATACAGTGTGGCGGCGGGATCATTCTTTGGTAAAGAATCATTGCAAAGGTGCCTAGAGATTGGAGCGTTAATACCCTAAAGGAAGTCTAACCCCTAGTCCCGACCAATTAAGGTCTTAAAAAGGAGATTTGGTTTCGTGAATGCCTTTTACGATCCCTTATCCTCGCGGCCAGGACGGATGTGCAGTAAAAGGCGCTGCTCCCTCTCATAATGGGATTGGCCGCTTGCTGGGAAAAGTTTATTGATAGCTGCGGGGCTCTAATCTCGGCGAAACACAAGAGCTTCTTGCAGTCATTTAAGGGCAATTATCTAAACGGGGAGGGACAGCGGAGCCCCTGCCTTTTGAACGGGGCCCGAGGTTATGAGCGCTTAGATTATGGGATGGATGGGTGAATGTCACAGCAAAGCTAGGTTCGTCAATACGCGAAGGAGCCGAGGAAAGGGAAGCGGGAAGGTTCTTCAGGCTGCGTCTAGGTTCTCACGCAGACAGACCCAGCATTGCGTTCCCGTAGATGGATGACCCAACTTCGAGTACCCCCTTATTTATTTACTGCATAAATATCTTTCCTGTATGTAAATTTCCCTCCAAGGAGCTCATGGCCACGTATGTGAATCCCCCCCCCGCCAACTTCCCCTCACAACAGCCCTGTGAGGTGGGCCAGGTTTGGCGAGAGTAAAGCCTCGCAAAGTTTCCTGGCTGAGGAGGAACAAAGATCTTCCGAGGTCGAGCTAAGGCTCTTAAGCGCTGCTCCGCCCTGGCTCTGCCCCCGGGACTCCCCGTGTGGACCTGGAGCGCCTGGCTCTTCCTTCCTCCCCCCGCCCCGCAAAACAACAACAAAAACCCCTCAATGAAGAGAAGACCCTCTTTTCGGATGAAAAACAAACTTGCTCATATTCACACATCTCTCCTGGAACACGTTACACATTTCCTTCCAGCGCCGTCTCCATATACTTTAATAATAACGACACTGCCCTTCCTGTTGCTGCTGTTATTGAAACAATAAATAACACGATGGGGGGGGGTCACCCGTGTGACGGGTGCTCAAAGAGGAGCCATTGAAATAAATGCGGTAAAGTAACCTAGGGCTTAGTGATGAACGATAAAGCTAAACTTAACCCCGAAAAAATAGAAGCTTATGTTTAACTTCCACGGACCATCTTGGGGTTTAACAGCAAAATCTTACTCGGTAAAAGACCCACGGGGCTTCGGGTAAATGGCCCTAGGCCTGCAGCCTAAAAGTATTTACTTCTAAGGAGGGATGAGCGATTTGCGATCCATGGATTCGCAGAAAGGGAGAGGGCGCGCGCGTGCACGCTGTGATTTGGAGGGTGTTCCTGAAGTGGTAGGTATCTCTGCGTGTGCGCAAGATCTTTAGACTATATCTGGATCGCTTAAACCATTTAGTGGACTGAAGTATATTCCTCTCTAAGGCGCATGCATTTCTTGCAGGCCTCAAGAAATCTATGAAACCAATAAATTGGTTCTATGAAATCTATGAAACCAAGTAAACCAATAAATCACGAGCACACCTGCGTGTCCTGGCTTCACCCCATATTGAAAAAGTTATTGGATAGGAGTGGAATTTCCTTCCACAAGAATGTGGTCTGCTTTCTGGGAGAAATCAACTTAAAGTTCCCCGTTTTAGTATACAGCGTGGATGTTGTCCCGAATAGTTGTGCTGCGGTGTGTCTGCGCATTCCTTGGATCCTAATGCCGACCGAGATTCGTTTGCTAAAGCCCTTTCTACTCTGGTCCCTTTCCTCACAGGGTCCTGGGGGAAAGTTCCGCCCGCCCACCCTTGGGGCCTACCATGCGGATCTCCAGAAAGAACTTAGGCCGGAACCCTGGGGCTCTCCGTGAAAGGAACGAGCTTGCTCGCTTCTCTGACCCGTGGACCAAAGAGTAAAATCGATAGGATTTTTGGGAGGGGGCCTCCTGGCCCCAAGCACAAAACGCCGCGCCTTTCCTCCCCTTTTCTCCCGCTTCTGGCGGCCAGATTGCGTTGCCCGCCTTTGGTGGGAACCCAGCGAGGTCCGCTTCTCGCGCGCCTCTCCCGCTGCCCTTGGACGGCGCGGCCGGCCCGGTCCAAGGGGCGTCTGCGCGGGCGCCCCAGAAGCGGCCGCGTCGCTAATTGCGAGAATAAACAATCTGTCACGATTAGTCAGTGCCTCTACTGGGCAGACAAGGGATGTTGTCTGGAGGCGCCAGCGGCGGCGGCATCAAAGGCTCCCGCTGGAGGGCCTATTGAGGACGCGAACCCGCGTCCAGGGAGCGAGGCGCCGGAGCCCGGCGAGGACCCCGACGCAAGCAGCCGGGCCAAAGGAGCGCGCTCGCCCAACCCCGCCTCTCTTCCCACCCCCGCAACGACGGGGAAGACGCAGGATCCAGCCCCTCGCAGTTCTTTTGCTTTGGGGCCGCACGGGCAATTCTTTGGGACCCCCCAAAGCGGGGGGACGTTGCAGAAGGGGATAACTGGCACTCATGTGAGCGCAGTCGGCGGATGTTCCCACCAGCCCAGCTCCTTGGGCGTTGCTTCGACGGGGCTGGGGTGTGTGGGGACGAGGTGGGCATTGCTAGTCAGGACCATTAAGCCTTGGGGAGGACAGGACCCCAGGAGCGGCCGGCCGCCCGCAGCGCTCACGAGGCAGCCCCGCGAGCAAGATGCTCCGAGAGCAGGACTGAGGCCGGGCATTGCCGCTGGGGCGCCGCGTGGGGTGTGGGGGGGGGTAGATGTGGAAATCCCATTCCGGAATCCCGAAAATTCCTCCCGCCAGTCATAACGCCGGTCCCACTTTACGGTCGCGCTTTTCCAGCGTCCCAGTCGGCGCTTGCTTGTCCTTTACGAGCCGGCAAGATTGCGGCTTCCGCAGGAGAAGAGACCGGCCGCTTTTACTGACTTAGCCAAAGCGACTCCTTCCCCGCCGGCTGTGGGGTTTTCTTGAGCGCAGGAGGCCGCACGATATCCGTGCAACGAAATTTTGTGTGGATTCTCGTTGCTTAAGAGTCTCCAAATTTTTATTGCGCTTATTATAAATGGGCACAACACGCTGACAGATTATTTACCGCGGTTTGTCCTCCACCGTTTCTTTGAAGGAAGGAGAGGGGAAGAGTTTAAGAAAGAGAGTGAGAGAAGGGGGGGACCCTGCTCCTCTGGGGTGGAACAGATAATTTAATGATAATATCACTTGAAAGCAAAACAAAACAACAACAGAATTTCAACCATGGGTTTATTTGGGGGGGGGAGTCTCACTTTATTCAGCGAATCTTAACTTAAAAATATATGTGCAGTGATTGATGCGGGCATAACACTGATTACTAAATATCTATACTTGGAAACAAATCCTATCGAAACTATGAACTGGGCATTGGTCAGCTTTAAGTGAAGGATTCTGGGCTACAAGTCTTATTTGCAACAGTACAGAGAAGCCCCGGCAAACCTAGCCGCCTTGTAAATTTACCCAGCGCTATTTGCTGGATTTAAGCAGGGTTCTGTCCGGTCGAGTTTCCTCTCTGCAAACCACTAGAATCTGGGAAGTCGTTCCCATCGAAATAGATGAGGTCCTGGGTGTTAGTTTGCATGTCCGTCGCTTGACGACTAAACCTCTGGAGCGATGACTTGTAGTACCCCTGAACTGCAGCGGCAGCCGGTACTGCACAGCTGACCGAAAGGTGATTTCACTTCACGGGAAACGCAGGGCTTTCTAGGGGACTCCCGTCCATACATTCACTTGCCAATCGCGAAGGG